TTCACAGCCTCTTCGATAGCATCGCTGCACTCCTCAAAATAGCGATACAGGTCTTCAGCCGGGTCGTCGAACACGGGCACGCGGATGCCCCGCACCTGCGGGAGGCCGGGGAACGGCTGCTGCCTGGTGACATTAACGCAGAAGGTGACTCCCTCTCGCGTCAGCAGGTCCTCGTCGCGGGCCGCCCTGGCGTTGCTGATGAGCAGCGAGGTGGTGACCTTGGAGAGCTGCAGCATCTGCAGCCAAGGCCGCAGCGTCCCCAGCACCACCGCCCCCGCTGCAGAGCTCCCCGATGGTCACCTCCACGCTGTGACACGGCCCTGCTGCAGAGGGATTCCCCCGATCGGGGCGCAGATTGCTTCCCCCAGTGACGTGTATGGGCTGTGCTGTGCTATATTTATCCCCTCCAAACAGCCTCGGCGTACAGACTTACAGGTCCTAGTGCCTGCTGCATCCTGAGTCGCAGTTAAAGAGCCAAAAGCATTTTCAGAGCCCACAGAGCATTTGTAAAGCAATTGGATTTTGCTGTCTCTACCCCTATAGCAGCCTCTAAGAAGCAGCCAAACCCCATCTCCCTCCTAGGAAGGCTGGGCTGGGGTTGGCACTGATGCTGTGTTGGTGCAACAATGATATATTTTTATATTATGATGATATAATATTGAGCTGATCACCTCCAGATCCTCTGGTTCCCCCTCACCTAAAACAAAAGCATCTTCTGACCACCCAGAAAATGATTTCCTAGGCCAGCTCAATACGGTAGCGTGTGCAGATCAATGCGAGCATGTGGCAGGACATGGAACTAAAGAAATAGCTCCTCACTCAAGGGCATCACTCAGTTTATTAAATTTAAGTGATCTTTGCTTCCAGGCAGGTACAATTTTAGTAGTTTCCACTTCTCAAGACTCTTTTAGACTCATCAATGAGCAGCTTTTGCTGCGTTACCTGGGCTCCTGCCTTCACCCACTTCTGGAAGCAGAGCAGAGCCGAAGCACAAACCTCTCTGCTGCTCCAGGTCGGGCTCAGGGACTCGCTCGAGCTGTGACACCCAGGTCACCGTGACGCAGCGGCTGTTTGCTTCCTTCGCTGGTAACCCTGCCAACAGCGGCCCTGGTCCAAGCCCTGGGAAATAATTAGCACAACGCTTTGTAATCACACATAGCAAGGGTATTTCTGATTCCTTATCTTACTATGCCATGACTTTTTGCACACCTAGATGAGAAAAAAAAAGAGCATTTAGCACTCTCGCTTCACTAACCAAAGGCAGGTTCACCTTGTTTCCACAGTCACAGCCACACGGCTCCAGCAGTTGCTCCTCTAGGTGACACCGGGTTGCAGGGACCAGCTTTGGCATCAGCCCATTGCACCCTGTGAGCTTTCATTCCCTGGGACTCCTGACCTGGCCTACGCCTGCGCCTTAACACGGAAAACAGAAAGAAAACGCCAAACTCGGCTTAAATGGAGAAGAAACAAAACTGCCCTGTAAATACTGATTGAAGTCTCCAGCCTTTTTATTTAGACAAGGATTCAAAGAACATATTTCAACTTTAGATAAACAGTGCAAGAGAGTTACAAGTACCTTGGTAACAGAAAGAAATAACTGTCCAGCTATGCCAGTAAGTGAAATAATTCTTACTCCTGCAGATAGAAATGCATCTGTTAAAGCAAAGGTGGACTTTAGATATTTTGCTATACCTCAGCCTCTACCAAGCCCACCGGAAAACAACAGGCAGTTTGTCATTGTAAATGATAAGTAGCTGCGCTCTCAAAGCCTCTGGAGACCCTCGCCCTCAGTTAAAACACACAGGTTATGGCACCAAAGAGCAGGCTGAAAGACGGCGACACCAGGAAATCAACCAGTTCTGCTTCTCCCCTTTCCAGGGGCAGGGGGCCTTGGTGGTATTTTTGCCTTGACCGCTACCCCACGCATCCCTGTGAGGCACGAGGCCGTTTCAAACCAGGACACTGCGCCTCACCCCCTTGCTAACATCAAATAAAGGTCATTCCCAGAGCTCGCCATTCACAAAACCAACCCCGGGCAGCCGTCCTCAGCCTGCCACTGCCACGGCAGGTTTGTCACAGCGTTTCTGAGCAAGCCCAGGAAATGTCATTTATAAGCACTGAAAAGTGCTCCGTGCCAGCCCGAGCGCAGGCTCAGTGTGTGGACCTGGGCTGATTTCAGCTTGCTGAGCTGTGCTGGTGGTTGTCTGCCATCGGTAACTGCTTTGCTTTACCTCAGTGGGCCAGGTCAGCACCCCAGTGGAAACTGGGGCGGCCAAGCACAGCCCCAGGCACCAAACCGCAGTGGGTCGGGCAAACCACTTTGGGTAACAGAGAGAACAGGAAAACCAGAATTAACCAGGAGTGCACAAAAACCCAAACCAGCGTGGGCGCAGTGTGAAACGATACCCAAAAAATAAACCCGGCAGCCCCAGGGATGAGGGAGGAAGCCCAAACACCAACACCGTGCGTCTCCTGGTAGAGAGGGGACACAGCCCTTGGGCTGCTGATGCAGCTCTGACCCCCAGCTCAGCTCTCGGGACCCAGAGGGACACTGAAGTGGGAGCTCTCACCCCAGCAAACGGGGAAGGCATCAGGAAGGGTTTCTCCTGCGTAACGGCGCTTACTGTGTCCTGGAGGCTTTGCCGTACTCCATTGGATGATCAGGTTTTATTACTGTAACAGGACCAATAATTTGGGCTATTACACTTTAAAAACATTAACTGGACCATCAGTAAATCCTTGACTCACGTTTCAGGTGTGTTCCCCCTGGGGCCCATCAGAAGCCTGTGAGGGCAGCAGGCTGACAGCAACGCTAACTGCACCGAAATGGAGACGACAGGGACCTCCCTGTCAAACTCCAACCCAACCAGTTTTTTGAAGAGGGACAATATTTTTGCTTTGGATGTAAAATTCCTGCAGGATTTGTTGTGGGGATTTTTGTAACTGAAGGCTTGATTTGTATTGGCCATTCTGGTTTAAAAAAAATAGATAGGAAGTGTTTTGAGCAGTAAAAGTAACGCAGAACTTGCTGTATTTCTAGGAGTAACTAAATCTGTACAAATCCGTGTGTTTACCCACTCCTGGGTGGCGCTGTCTGTCCTTCAGCCAATGTCCAGCATCCTGGCTTTCACTGCTGAAACCCTGCTGGATCAGATCAGTTCTGATCTTGGAAGAAGGCAAGAACGAGGCAGAACTGACACCACGTCAGTCTCATCGGCCACCGTCACTTGGTGAAAGGCGCCCTAAAACCTCTGCCTCCTTTGAGGCCCCCTCAGTGTTGCTCCCTGGCCCCAGGCAGGGTGGGTGACAAGCTCCTTGCACACCCGCCTGCATCGGCTTTCAGCGTCACCCTGCTCGTGTTCTCGTCTTCCCTGAAATTGCACATTCTAGAAACTGCTAATGGTAAATTTTACTTTTTCCCCTTTCTTAGAAAACAGCCAAACCCCAACCCCGTAATGTTTGCTCAGCCCGAAAACGTCTCCTCCGGCTCCGACATCTGCTGTGCGGGCCAGCAACACAGGAGATGGAAACAGCGCTGCCCTCCCTCTCACCCACAGCACAAACACCTTTGAAACTCAAACCCAATCCCATATGAAGGAAGCCCAACCCCTGGGCGTGCTCTCAGCCCAACCGGTCCCAGCGCCTGTGTGGTACCTACAGCATCTGCTAAACCTACAGCTCCATCCGTGCCCGCTGTCCCTGCCAGGCACAGAGGCCTCGGGAAGCCCTGTGGTGCACAGCCCTACACACACAGACGCTCCTACAGCTACGTGAGCACATTTATATCTTTCACCCACCACCTCCAGTCTCAAAACCAGGCAGGAGTTCACCCCACCAAGCATTTTGGGGCTAGGGCAGCCGCCTATGCGAGCCAGAGGCTGGGCTGGGGTGGGATGAGGCAGCAGAGGGTGAGCCCTGTGCCAAAACAGAGCTGCTGGTGCGTCTGACCCTCTGCCTCACCCCGTCGTGGAGGCTGTGGGAGGATGGGGAGGGGACAGGGAAAGTGGGAATTCACTTAAAAACCTACAATGCAACAGGAATAAACACCAAAAGAAAAAAAAAAAATCCCAAACCAAATGTGTCCCGTCCTCACGTCCCCCCGGTGGGTGCCACCTTGAGGCAGCCTCCTGGGCAGGGACAGTGCCAGCCCCGCTCTGCCCCAAGGCGGCTGCTGGGGGGGTCACTCTGCGTGTGCCTGGGGTCAGCTCTCACAACGTGGTGAAAAGTCCCCGGTCTTTCTTATGACCACCAAAACCAAAAGGGATTCCCGTGCCCAGCTGGGGCCAGAGGAGGAGCACGACTGTCGAGCGGAGAATCCCACCGCGCGTATTTTCATCTCTGTTACCTACCACGGTACTGCACTGCAGGTAGAAATTGGACCATTGTTACTCGGGTAAAAAATGGCTTTCCAACTAGCATGCAAAGAAAAAATACCCCAAACCCCAACCCCTAACACTCGTTCCCAGTCAGTCAGATGTAGGAGACCTACATTTCAAATTGTCATCAGCTACGAGCTCTAGTCAAGAAACCCCCTTCTGACCCTTCCCAAGAAAAAGGAAGTTCTGCGTTTTTGGGTCCAACAGCCACTGCCAAACCGTTTCGGTCCAACCCACTAAACCCGCTCACTGGAAGCAAAGGGCCACCTCCATCTGCCTAGGAAGCACAGAGGAAAAACCCAAAAGAGCCCCTGACTGCAGCACCGGGGCAGCGCTGACGGTCTCAGTCTCTCGGCGCCGCTCCCGGCCCCGCGGTGCTGTGGGCAGCGGTTCGGCAAGCAGCGCCCTGGGCAACAGCGTCAGGGCAATTGCATATTCCACTGGGGGCAGCAGGAGAGCTGGACCCCTGGAGGCCTCTCTGCAAAGGCTTGATCAGCCCCGAGAGCCGGTCTGTGGCAATAACAAAAGTAAAACAATGAGGTACGGAAAGAAGAGCCCAGCATTGAGGAAGAGACCAAGAAAGAAGAAAACAGCTCGAGCACTGCCAGAAATAGCAAACAACTGAAACCTTTTTCCTCCTCCCTCTTTTTTTTTTCTTTTTTCTTTTTTTTTTCCCCCCTCCAAGGTGAATTAAATACGTCCTTTTGTCGGTTGGTTTTGGCAAAGTGAAGCCCTCGGCCGCAGTCTCTTTCCTGGCTGTGCTAGGGAGTTACCGCCACAAGTGCTGCGTGGCAATGAAAGCCACCGAAAGGAGGAGGAGGAAGGCGGAAGGCAAAGATCTGCTGCCGGCCCCACTGACG